GTACTTTTTGGAGTTAAGAAACATGAATTAGAGTCCTGTCTCTAATACTCGTTTCCTGTGTGACTATGGGAAAATCACCTAACTTCTCTGGAGCTCAGTTTTCTTATTTGTAAAATGTGGATTACTGCAGGTACTGCTCACTTTCCCAGGGTTATTGTGAAGAAATGTTCTAACCCTACGTAAATGGGATTTGTTGGTATTGGTTCAGTTCTGAGATCAAGCTCTGGTGGAGAGGGCTCTGAATTTTAGTCAAAGGACCAGGGCTTTGGATTCTGCCTCCATCACTTAGTAGCTACTCTGCCTGTGGGAAGTCACTTCCTTTCCTCTGGGCTTACTTTCCTCACCTGTAAAGTGATGTCTCATCTAACTCTGTTTTTAATCAGATTATCCCCCACATGCCTTCTCATTCCTCTCCTGGATGGTGGTCTCACAGACATCAGCAGCGTGTTTGCAAAGAACTTGTTCATGCTGGGTCCAAAACAGATGTTTTTGTTTTTTAATGTTTCTAACTATTGCAGTGATTTTTCTCCTTTAATATGGAATGTACCTAATTAATGATTCAGCATCATGCTAGGGCTATGTTCTCTTTGATGTGTTCATCAGCATCCACTAAGAAATATTGAAAGCTAATCATAACAAGACTTAGCTCTTATAAAATGCCTTTTATCTTCAAAGTGGTTTACAAATCACTAATTATTGCTGGAATTCAGGCAGTAATCACATCAGGACCTCTAAGTGTTATATCAAGGTCATTTAACATGAAACTAGATATATTAGGGTAGAGTATGTAGCTGCCTTCTACCTCTCTAAGGACTAACTGAAGAAAACTTGACCTAATTCACAAGAGGAAGGATTTAGGTTGAATTGATTATGTAAAAAAAAAAACTGCATGTTGACAAGACTGAAATTTTCTCGCTCTCCTTCCCCAGGGAACTAGAAGGGCCCTAGAGAAACCTGACAAGTTTCAGGTTCAGCCCTTTCTCGAAGCTGATTGGGCGCATCCTCCCCTCAGGCTGCAAACCACTGCCCTCACTCAATTATATAAAATGTTTGAATTAGAAGGCATTTCTAGTAGCTAGCGACAGCTAGCTCAGTGGAGAGATAGAGCACTGGGCCTGGAGTCACGATGACCTGGGTTCAAATATAGCTTCAGATACTTCCTAGCTTATGACCCTAAGCAAATCACTTAACTTCTGTTTGCCTTAGTTTCCTCAACTATTAAATGGGGATAAGTAATAGCGTGTACATACCAGGGTTGTTGTGAGGATCAAATGAGATAATACTTGTAAAAAACCCTCAGCATAGTACGTGACACACAGTAGGTGCTATATAAATGCTTATTTCCTCCTCTTCCCTTTCTTAGGCTCTATATGGAATGAGGAAGGAACTGGATTCAAAATCCTGCTTTTGTCTTGTCAGTGTAATAGTGAGTCAATTAATTTCTCTCATCCTTACTTAGCTTCTTTATCTGTAAAAGGGAGGTAATAACGTGGAGCCTTCTTATTTTGCAGGTGAGGAAACTGAACCTGATCTAGAAGTAATGACTTGGCTAAGGTCACAGAGCTAGGCAGGAGCAGATTTGGGATTCAAAATCAGGCCAAGATAACCATGTTTAAGTGTGTGTAGGGGTGGGGTGGAGGTGGGGATAGTTAATGGGGCTAGGGAGAGGTAGAGGCCATATCTGTTTGAGTTCTGTTGCTAGATAAAAACTTCTTACCAGGAAACAAAGATATCATCCCCTCCCTGCCCCTCCTCTCCATCTCACCTCACCCACAAAAAAAATAGTCCCTTTGGTAAATTGGTAAAGAAGCTTATATCTTAGGGGTGGGGTGGGGGAAATGTCAGAGAGTGACATCTGAATAGGAAGAAACTGAGGACCAGGAACTTCTCCAAAGTCAAATGGAAACAGAAGAGGTTATTATCTCATATAACAGAAAAGGGGAGCTTAGCTCTGGAACTGACAAAGGCTATTTTTTCCCTTGAAGTAAAGGAGCAAAGTTACCAATGATCTCCTCATTGACAAATCTAATGGCCATTCCTCATCCTTCTTGGCTTCTCTGTACCATTTGATACCATTAACTCTCTTCTCTTGGAAATTTTTTCCACTCCGGATTTTAGGGCACTGTTCTCTCTCTTGGTTCTCCTCAACCTGTACAACTATTCCTTCTCAGTCTGTTTTGGATTTTAATCAATGTCATGCCTGCCGACTATAGTTTCCCCTAAGTTACTATCCTAGGCCTTCTCATTTCTCTCTATACCTTCTCATTTGGCAATCTCATCAGCTCCCAAGGCTTCCATTATCATCTCAATGCAGACGACTCCCAACTCTGTATATCCAGCCCTAGTCTCTCTCCTGAGTGACAGTCATACATCACCAACTATCTTTTGGGAATCTCAAACTCTATGTCTTGTAGGCATCTCAGACTGAACATGTACAAAATGGAAATTTTTTCCTCTCAAACTCACTCCCTTTCAAAGTTCTCTATCAGTATTGAAGAGATGACCATCCTTTCGGTCACTTGGGTTTGCAGCCGTAGTGGATGGGCAGCCCTAAATTTCAAACCCCCTGTAACATAAGCCAGCTCACTTAGCCCCCTAACTCTTCTAGGTTTTTAGGGAATAACATAGGGGTCATCACACTCCATCTACTGCAGGGAAGAATTCTCATTTTAGTTTGATGTATGTCCTGATGCTCCTAACTATAAGGTCAGGTTTTGTAATGGAAAATACTGTGAGCCAGGTACCAAATTACTTGAGAAAGGAGGGAAAAATCTGCCCAGGAAGTGGTGGATAACTGTTACCAGGTTCTAAATAGGGTCATATATCTAGAATGAACCTTCCAGGAGAAAAAATTGGTAATGGAAAGAGTCTGGCAGTGACAGTAAGGAGCAAGAAGTGTGTCTATTCCCATCCCAGTGTATGTATGGAAAGAGGGAGGTGAGGAAGAGTATGAGAACTGGAACATTCAGTATTGGAGGTGAATGGCCAGATTCTGAGATGACAAGAAGATTGAAGGAAAGAAGATGAGGTCTAATATAAAGGGTAGTTTTTAAACAGTAGAATAAGGGTTCCAAAGAGCATAATGGAAGGGAAAAGTGGAGATAAATAGGGTCGGGAGGGATGGGATGAAGTGAGTGAGAATGAGTGAGTGAGGAGTGATGATAAAGGAATAGAGTATTAACTTCCTTAACTTCCCAGGTAGTTTTGCACTATGAATTAGAGAGTGAGAGGAAAGAATTTGCTAGTCATGGGACAATAGATTGTGATACACATCCTCAGTAAGCTTGTGGCTACATCCCAGGCCCCAACTGGATTTTGATTTTATTTCCTCCCCCTGGAGGGAGGTTGGGAATCTAGACATAGGCTAGTCTAGATGGCTGGATAGCGAGATGGTTCATCCGAGGTCCCTCGTTGATTTTGAAGGGCTGAGACATGCTTGATTTATAGATCCATTTTAATAAGTAAATGCTTTTCTGGGCCCTGAGGTGTGATGTTGGTTTGGTTTTTACCAGTCGAGTGCAGAGGCTTTGGGCCTGGTGATGAGGAGATAGTCTAGGTGGCAGGGATGATGAGAGTCAGGGCAAAGAAACAAAAGGCTGCTTTGCAGTAGATTAGCATGGAAGGAGGCTTGAGACCTACTGTTGGGTGTTAGAATATCCCCTCAGAGTGGACAACACAGACTAATTTAGCTGGTGGGATTTCAGAGCAGCAGTCCCTGGACTGGCCCTATCAGGATGGCTAGTGGGCTGCTTTATTGTGAGTTGCTGCAGGCTGATGGGTGGACCACTTCACAATGTTTTACTTTAAAAGAATCTAGGTTTGCAGGAATTATTTAGAAAACTGCAAAATCTTAGAAATGTGTGAGAATATACTATCCATCTGTTTGGAATGGCTTTGTGAAGGGGCTAGGAGACAGTAGGGCAGCCTGTAGTCTCCTACATCTATATCTCTGGAGGAACTTTCTGCTCTAAAGAGTCTCTGATACCTTAATTCTCATCTTTATTCAGTTGTATCTGACTCTTCCTGATCCCATATTTGGATTTCTTGGTGAAGACACTGCAATAGTTTGCCATTTCCTTCTCCAGCTCTTTTTACAGATGAGGAAAGCAAGGCCAATAAAATTAAGTGACTTGCCCAGGGTTACATAACTAGTAAGTGTCTGAGGTCAGATTTGAACTCAGGTTTTCCTGACTCCAGGCCCAGCGCTCTATCTACTGCAACCACCTAGCTACCCAACTGTCATCTATCCTTACTTAAATCCCTTACTTTAGATGAAGGTGGAGACAAAGGGACAAAACGATGAAAAGAATGATGAAGTTGGAGTCAAGAGCTGGATTTGAGTACTAAATGTAACGTTTAGTGGCTGTGTGACCATGGTCAAGTTGTTTCTCTTCTAAATGCCTTGGGTTCCTCGCTTGCAAAATAGTGGTAAAATAATATGATTTGCCATTTCTACCTAGTAGAGTTGCAGGGAAAGAATTTCGTAAACCTTAAAGAGCTATCATGAGTTGTTATTGTTATAGAACGAAAGTATTTGCTATTTCTTCCTCCCCGTAGCTTCTGTCCCTTTGCCTTTGGAGTAGGTTCCCTAACTTTCCCCTTTAGTGTATGTGCCATCTGTCCAGCTATTTGTTTATATAGATTAAAATTCTCTGAGGTAGAAGCTTTGCCAAAACATGCCTGAGACATCACTGAACTTCAATGAGATGTTCTATAGCCAAAGCTCATAGAAGAATTCCTTTGTTTCAGTCCTAAAGTATAAGTATTTGGATCTATACTCTTTCTCTACCTCTTAGTTTTTAACACAAATTTTATAGGTTAAGCCAGAAGCCACAGACTAAGTTGGGTGGCATGAGGGAAGAGAAGGCCTGCTTAATTGCATACAGAGAGCAAACTGAAGTACTTTGTCAGTCACTACTCCACTATGAGATTTGCTTTGATGTACCCACTCTGAGTCTGAATGATTTCACAAATAAATCTCTTTATTTCCTTCTGTTTAGGTTAACTTTAGGGCTAAAAGCAATACTCAAGATCTGCTCTACAATTTGGGGAGAAGCAGTGCATTGGGGATAGAGTGTATGCCTTACTGTTGGAATAGGATTGAGGTAACCATGGAGAGGCTTTTGGGTTTGTACTTTCTTTTTAAATTTTAATTTATTTATTTTTAGTTTTCGACATTCACTTTTATAAGATTTTGAGTTCCAAATTTTTTCCCCATTTATCCTTTCCCCCCACCCCAAGACACCATGCAATTTGATGTAGGCTCTACATATGCATTCATATTGAGCCTATTTTCACATTAATCATGTTGTGAAGAAGAATTAGAATCAAAAGGAGCAACCATGAGAAAGAAGAAACAAACAAAAAAAAAAAGAAAAAAGAGAGAGAGAGCAAATAGTATGCTTTGTTCTGCATTCAGACTCCATAGCTCTTTTTTTGGATGTGAACAGCATTTTCCACCATGAATCCTTTGGAGCTCTCTTGGATCCTTCCTTGCCTTGCTAAGAAAAGACAAGTTTATCAAAGTTAGTTATCACAAATTGTGGCTATTACTGTGTACAGTGTTCTCCTGGTTCTGCTCACTTCAGTCAGGATCAATTCAAGTAAGTCTTTCCAGGTTTTTCTGAAGTCTGCCTGCTCATCATTTCTTGTAGCACAATAGTATTCTATGACATTTATATACCACAACTTGTTCAGCCATTCCCCAACTGATGGGCATCCCCTCAATTTCCAATTCTTTGCCACCACAGAAAGAACTGCTATAAATATTTTTGTACATGTGGGTCCTTTTCCCTTTGTATGATTTCTTTGGGATACAGACCTAGAGGCGGTATTGCTGGGTCAAAGGGTATGCACATTTTTATAGCCCTTTGGGCATAGTTCCAAATTACTCTCCAAACAAATCCACAATGCATTAATGTTCCAATTTTCCCACGTATTCTCTAGCATTTATCATTTTCCTGTTTTGTCTTGTTTGTCAATCTTACAGGTGTGATGTGGTACCTCAGAGTTGTTTTGACTTGCATTTCTCTAATCAATAGTGATTTAGACCATTTTTTTTCATGTCACTATATATAGCTTTAATTTGTTCATCTGAGAACTGTCTGTTCATATCCTTTGACCATTTATCAATTGGGGAATGACTTGTATTCTTATAAATTTGACTCAGTTCTCTATATATTTTAGAAATGAGGCCTTTATCAGAGACACTGGTTGTAAAAATTCTGTCCCAGTTTTCTGCTTCCCTCCTAATCTTGGTTGCATTGGCTTTGTTTGTGCAAAAACTTTTCAATTTAATGTAATCAAGATTATCCATTTTGCATTTCTTAATGTTCTCTATCTCTTGTTTGATCATACATTCTTCCATTATCTATAAATCTGCCAGGTAAACTATTCCTTGCTCTCCCAGTTTGCTTATACTATCAGCCTTTATATCTAAATCCTGAATCCATTTTGACTATTTTGGTATATAGTGGAAGATTTTGGTCTATGCCTAGTTTCTGTCATACTATTTTTCAGTTTTCCCAGCAGTTTTTGTCAGATAGTAAGTTCTTATGCCAGAATTTGGAGTCTCTGAATTTATCAAACAGTAGATTGTTATAGTCATTGACTACTGTCTTGTGTACCTAACCTATTCCACTGATCCACCACTCTATTTCTTAGCCAGTACCAAGTGGTTTTGATGATTGCTGCTTTATAATACAATTTAAGATTTGGTATGGCTAGGCCACCTTCTCTAGCATTTCTTTTCATTAATTGCCTTGATATTCTGGACTTTTTGTTCTTCCAGATTGGTTGGTACTTTTTTCACTATAATCTTGTGAAGTGAGTAGTGAAAAATATTATTGTTTACTCTTTTCTCTTATTATTAGTGGTTTGAAACAATCTTTAATTTTTTTCATAGTTTGTAGTTCTTTTCTTCAGAACCTTGTCTATATCTTTTGACCACCATTCATTAAGTTATGGCCTAAAATCTGATGCAAAGATTATTCTCCCTTCCCCCATTAACAGTTTCCCTTTTTAGTCTAACTGCATTCATTTTGTTCATGCCAAAGCTTTTCATTTTCATATAATCAAAATTATTTTCCCTTTGGTTAAGAATTCTTCCCTTTTTGTTTTTTTGCTAGGCAAGGGGGTTAAGTGACTTGCCCAGGGTCACACAGCTAGTAGGTGCCTTTTTGTTTTTCAGTTGTTTCAGTTGTGTCCAATTCTTTGTGACCTCATTTGGGATTTTCTTGGCAAAGATACTAAAGTAGTTTTGCCATTTCCTTCTCCAGCTTGTTTTACAGATGAGAAAACCGAGGCAAACAGGGTTAGGTGACTTGTCCAGGGTTGGACAGCCAGTAAGTGTCTAAGGCCAGATTTGAACTCAAAAGAGTCTTCTTGACTGTAGGCCTGGCATTCTATCCACTGTGCTACCAAGCTGCCCAAATTCAAGAATTCTCCCCTTAGCCAGTTTCAGAAACTAGATAGATTAGTGGAGTTAGGGTCAGAAAGATTTGGATCAGAATCCCACCTCAGACATTTGCTAGCTGAGTGACCACAGAAAAATTACCTAACCTTTCTGATTCTGTTTCCTAATCTGTAAAAATGAGGAAATTGTAATTGATATCCTCTAAGTTCCTTCCCAGCACTAAATCTACCATCTTATGATGATTCATAGTTGTGGAAGATACTCTAATCCATTTTTTGCAATGTTAAAAAATGATGTTGTCTTTTATAGTTAGATTACTCATTCACTTGGAACTTGCTGCGGGATATGGTGTTAGGTACTGCTTTAAAATTATTTTTTTCAAACTGCTTTCCAGCAGTTCTTGTCAAATACGGAGTCCTTCTACATGTAGTTTACTGTCCTAGTACAGGGTTGGGGAACAGACAAATTTTGTTCTATGAAGTTTAGATTCGGTCAAAGGGGCGCACTTAAAAACTAGAGGGCCACACGTGGCCTTGAGGCCACTGGGATATTGAGGTCTGCTGTTTCTGATTCTTATTTATATAGCTTATTCTATAGAAATTATGAAGTAATCCCTACATAATTTGAAATCTCTATTAATTTATGTAGTTTCGTAATTTTTATTGTATTGCCATGGCTCAACCGCGAGCAATGAATATTCATCCAATTATTTAAATCTTTTATGTCGGTAAAGAGTATTTTAAAATCATATCCAAATGTTGGGAGTGTATTTTTGTACATTGATTCCCAGATATTTTGTGCATTTTTGTTATTTTGAATGAGATTTCTCTTTCTATTATTTCTTCATAGTTTTTGTTATTGCTAGAAATGCTGAGGATTTTTTGTGGATTAATTTTGTATCCTGCTCCTTCAGGGATAAGCACTAGACCTGTGATTTCATTGACAGAGAACTATCAGGTGAAAAAACTACTTTTATCAGTTCAGGACAGCATCTTCTGGGTTGATTGTAGTTTAGAGAGATGCTGAAGTACTGAAAGGTTATATGAACTCCCCCATGATTTTGCACACTGGTATGTATGACAGGTAGGTCTTGAAGCCAGACCTTCATGGTTTCAAGGCTACCTCTTTACACACTATGCCATACTGCCGCAATTTTACCGAAGCTACTACCTCAATAAATTCTTTTTTTGACTTTTTGGGACTTTCTAAGTAAACCTTTGGTCTTCTGGAAATAGGGATAATTTTATCTCCTAGTAGCCATTATTTATTTCTTTGATTTCTTTCTTTTGTCTTATTGCTGTTGAAGGCATTATTAGAACTGTCAGATTATAGGACAAGAAGGGGCATCTTTCCTTTACACCTGCGTTTACTGAGAAATATTCTAGTCTTTGCTGCTACTAATTATGGATTTTGGTTTTAGATGTGCACTCTTAAAAACTTATTTTTAAATGGTCTTTTATGTCTATATTTTTTAAACGATGCTAATGCAAATGAGTGATTCGTCAAAAGTCTTCTCTGCATCTATTAACATAATCATATGGTTTCAGTTGTTTTTATTTTAATATAATTAACTTAGCTATTCTCATAATTTTGAACTGTCTTTGAATCCTGGGAAAAATCCAACTTGTTCATAGTGAATCATTTTTTGGGTATATTTTCTTTATTTTTTTGTTACAATTGTATTTAATGTTTTTGCATCAATAAAATTGGGTAGCAAGGTGGCACAGTGGATAGAGTGGTGGGCCTAGAGGCAGGAAGCCTTGTGTTCAAATCCAGCCCCAGACATACGGGCTGTGTGACCCCGAGCCAGTCACTTAACTCTGTTTGCCTCAGTTTCCTCATCTGTAAAGTGAGATGGAAAAGGACATGGCAAACCACTCTAGCATCTTTGCCAAGAAAACCCCCAAATGGGGTCACAAAGAGCTGGACATGACTGAACAACAACAAAAAAATTTGCATCAGTATCCATTAGTAATAAAGGCCTATAGTTCTCTTTCTTTGTTTTATCCCTCCTCCTTTAGGCACTTAAATCATATTTGTCTCATAAAATGAATTTGTTATATTGTTTTCTTTTTTGCCTATTGAGAATGACTTATTTAGAATAGATGCTAATCTTTTTTTTTAAATGTTTGATAGGATTGACATGAAAATCCATCTGGTATGGTATTTTTCTTTGGTCATCTTTTTGTAATTTGTTCAATTTCAGTTTCTGAGGTTGGGTTGTTTAGGATCTCTGTTTCATGCTCTTTTAGTTTGGATACCTGATATTTGTTCAGAAAGAAATTTAAATTTAAACTCCTTTAAATTTTTACTTTTTTGTTAGCATACGATAGTATGGGTTCTATACATCTTTGTATTTCTTCTCTATTGTGAATTCATTAAAAAATGTTGGGGGGTAATTTGAGCTCTCTCTCTTTGATCAAATTAACTAAAGGTTTGTTGATTTTGTTAATCTTTTCAAAGAACCATATTTCAGTTTTGTTTCTCATTTCTATGATCTTTTTTCATCTCTTTTTTCACTTTCATCTCAGCTGTTAGAGGGGAAATAGTTAATCTGTTTCTCTTCTAACTTCAATATTTCTTCTTTTGTACTTCTTTTAGGCTTGTTAATTTATTCTTTCTTGGTTTTTAAACAGTATGAAATTCATGTTCCTCTCTTTTTCATTTTTGTTAATGTATTTTTCATAGATATTTTTCTTCTAACAATTACCTTAGTTGCATCCTCAAAATTTTAATATGCTTTGTCATCATTCATTCTATTTTACAGAGTTGTTCATTGTTTCAATAAGTGTTCTTTAACTTGCTTTTTATTGAGGATGTCGTTATTAAGTCTCAATTTAGATTTGTATCTTTTGTTGTGTTCCCTGTATTAATTGCTAATTTATTGTGTTATGGTTTACAAAGGATATATTTAGTACTTTTGTCTTTTTATATTTGTTTATAATTCTTTGTGCCCTAGCAAATGGTCTGTTTTTATAAAGGTACCAACTAATGCTGCGAACTGTGTGTATTCATTAATCCCCCCATTCAGAGGATGTCATAAATCTTTTAAGGCTAACTTCTCGAATAATCAGTTCAGTTTGTTATTTTCCTTATTGTTTATCTTTCTGCTTGATTTATCCTACTATGAGAAAAGAGCATGAAAGTCTCTGTTACTATTTATGTGTTTTTGCTATTTAATTAACTTTTCATTATTCTTGCTTTTCCTACTAGACTAATACAAGATGCAGTCTTTGTTTTAGTATAGACACCGAGTCAATTCTGCAGCAGCTGCCTGCAAGTCCACTATAGGTAAACCCAACTATTGTTCCTTAGAAGTTTAAATGCTCCTACAAGCCCTGAAAAGGAGAAACATTTCCTTAAGAGTCTTCCTGTGACTATGTGGATGTCTCTATGCTTTTCTTTTTTTGTCTTGCTTATTTTTTTCTGTTTTGCCTCATTTTTAGAAATAAATATATATTTATGAGGAAATTGGTGTCATGTGGTGGGATTCATGCTGTATCTTGAGTCATAAGACCTGGTCCTGCTCCCTGCCCTTTCTATGACAACTTTTCCTAAGGTCATGTTATCTCATTTTTGTAGTCATTTTGTATGTTTTATTTTTTCCTGATTCTTTTTGCTTCATTTTGTATGAATTGATCTAAGTCTTTCCTTGTTTTTCTATCTCATCGTGGTCATCATTTATAGCCCAGTAATATTTCATTGTGTTTATGTACCAAAATTTATTTAGCCATTCCCCAACTGATGGCCTGTAATGCTGCAATAAATATTTTTGTGTATGGGGTGTTTAATTTATCATTAACTTCCTTGGAATATGTGTCAAGCAAGCAATGGAATCTCTGGGTCAAGTTGTGCTTTCCCCTTTTCATTTCTACCATTTTTTAAAAAAATAATTTTCATGTTATTCCAGATACTTTTTTTTTTCATTCCTTCCAGCTCTGATATTTTTGAGCTATCTGAAGAAGGATTCATTTGGATTTGTGGGTAGATTTGGGAGGGAGAACATTTCACCCATCTTTCAATCTGAAATAGTTGTTAATTATTGTTCTATTCCTTCCTGCCCCCATTGACTGGACGCACTAGTCTAATAAGACATCATGGTAGAGACTTTTAATCCTTTTTTTTTCTTCTGCCTTTCCTGGGCTTCAATAGCTAATTAAAGAGGTAATTGCTAAGAGATGTTGGGGGCCATTGGTGAGTGGGTCTGCTCTTCATTCTCATAACCTTTCAATCTTCCCTACCTGTCTCCCCTCTGCTCTCCTCCTAACAGCTCACTGTCTCTTCTCTTTTCCCATTCAGGTCCAGGGGCAGAGCTGGATTGTGGATGGTGAACTGATAAGATGGCTGTTCCTGAAAAGAGAGCGGTTCGAGAATCCAGGAAGGCCAGACTTTCACTTAAGGGGAATGAGGCCAATCCCAAGTTCCCAAAAGATGCACAGTGGAGTGAGACAAGAGGACAGGACCCAGGCCAGCTGGACATGTTGAAGAAAGCTCAGGAGTTCTTCCAGACCTGTGACACAGAGGGCAAAGGCTTCATCACCAAGAAGGACATGCAGGTAAGAGGATCTGCTTCTAGGGCAAGTCAATTAGAGTTAATCTGGTATCATGGAGATTTGAATTAGACTGATAATATTAGGGGGCAGCCTTCTCCATCCCTAGCATCACTAATGTCATATTCCTATAGAAAAGATGCCAACCATAGAGCATAGTGGGAAACATACACACATGTCAGAGGTACCAGGAAACCTAGCTTTAATTCCTGACTGATGTTACTAGTATGATTGTAAATAAATCCCTTGCCCTCTGAGTCTCAGTTTTCCTCATCTTACAGATCAGGATAACAATATTTGCACTGCCTACCCTATAGAGTTTTTGTGAGAAAAGTTCTTTGTAAACCTTAAAGCACTATAGAAATGTGAAGTATTAGTATTTCCCAAGAAGAAGAAAAAAAGTGTTCTTTCTTCCTATTCTCCTCCCCCGCAAATATCCACAAATGATCATTCTCTGGACTCTGGAATCTAGAGGATCATGGGATCACAGATTTGGAGCTAAAGGGGATCTAGAGGTTGTCTGGAAGCAGCCTATACTGATTATTAAAGGACTTTAATGGGAGTCAGGACAGCTGAGTAAAGTTTACTCTGCCCCATATGAATGAATGAATGAATGAAAAGCATCTATTGAGAGCTTACTATGTGCAAAGCACTAGGTTAAGTGCTGGGAATGCATAAAGAAAAACAAGACAGTGAGCCCCTGCTCTCAAGGACAGAGGGAGACAACAAATAGAGGAGTTTCAGCTACAAATAAGATGGAAAGATTCCATGGTCCTTAGGGTGCAGTGGGAAAGCAGATGGTAATACATCTTCTTTATTGTTATCCCCACCAATATAACCACATCCATTTCTGATGTTAAACCATTTGACAATGCCAAGAACTTTGGTAATGAGAACTTTATTTTTCTTCACTCTTCAGTAGTTGGGAGGAGGGAGGAATTTGCTGCTATTCCCAAGGCTCTTAGACTCACCTTCTCATCAGTGGTGTTTGGTTAGTTCCTAGTATGGGTGGTGGGAGGGACGGTAGGTCTATTCTCCTCAGGAATTATTCTCCTTAATGATGGCTTTGGGTACTAGACTGGTAGTCTAGTGACCACAACTATTCCCAGGACCCTTGGGCTCAGGGTCCTGTGCTTTCTCCATCTCAATCTGAAGGGAGGTGGTGACTGAAGTGGTGATTGATGGTGGTTTGGCTTGCTTGACACATCCCACCCTCTACCTCTCTCTCTCCTGATACCTTGCTGTATCAGCTAGTATATGACCCTGGAGAAGGGCAAAAGGAAAGAATGAGTTAGCTTACCATTTTTTTTTCAATAAAATCTTGGATATAAACTAGAAAAAATATCTGCCCCTGTTTTTGAGTATATGAAGATATCTCAAGAGCTCTGAAGTAATTCAGTTCATTCAATGTAACCAATATTTGTTTTATTTTTAACTTTTATGCATTTTATTATATTAAAACATTAAAGGTTTAGCATTTTCAGTTCCAAATTCCCTTCCTCCCTGTGCCTTGTCCCCATTTGAAAAGTCAAGAAATACAATTAATACAAATATACAATCAATACAAGAAATATAATGAACAAAAATACAGGAAATACCCATTATACATATGAAGGCACTCAAAATATATTTCCACATTAACCATATTGTGTGTGGGGGGAGGGGAAAGAGCAAGACAAATAAAGTGAAAGAAAATGTGCTCAATTTGCACTCAGAGTTTCTCAGTCTCTCTCTGGAGGTGATTAGCATTTTTCATCATGAGGCCTTTAGAAATGTCTGGGATCATTAGAAGGATGAGAGTAGGTTAGTTTTTCACAGTTAGTTATTTAACCAATGCTTATTAAGCCATGCTTGGATCTGGAGCAGATACAGAATTGAGATAAGACATAGTCCCTGCCTTCAGAAGGTTTGTAGTCTAGAAGATGTGAAAGAAACTACATAGATAATTATAGCTTGAGGTAACAGCAATAACAATCATTTACATAAGCAAGTTAAGGTTTGTGAAGCTCTTTACATATGCTGTCTCATTTGAACTTAACAACCTCTTGGTGAGGTAAATGCTTTCATTACACCCATTTTACTCCAGAGGAAATTGAGACTGTGAGAGAGGAAATGACTTGCCCAGGGTCACAAAACTAGTTGGTGTCTGAAGCAGGTTTTGAATAAAGAGCTTCCTGACTGCAACTCCAACAATTTATCCTCTGCACCATCTAGAAAGTGTTGCTAACAAAAGACATGCAAAACAGAGTGATCTAATAGACATGGTCGTTATCAATCCAGCACATTGATTCCTGGCTTTGGAATTGGGCTTTAAAGGATGGATAAAGGGGCGGCTAAGTGGTGCCGTGGATACAGCACCGCCTTGGAGTCAGGAGGACCTGAGTTCAAATCCAGCCTCAGTCATGTAACACTCACTAGCTGTGTGACTCTGGGCCAGTCACTTAACTCCAGTTGCCTCATATTAAAAAAAAATAATAAAAAATAAAGGATGGATAGAAATTCAGAAGGCCTAGAGGGAGATAGAGGAAAATCTAGGTCTAAGGGACAGCATGAGCAAAGGAGCAGAGTTGAGAAAGCACAAGATATGGTTGGGGACAGAATGACCCATTCAGACTGAAAGACAAAGTATGTGGTTGGTAATAATATGAAACAAACTGGTCAGATAGAGTAACATCTGATGGAGAACTTTGGATGCCAAGATAAAATGTTTGAATCTTACAACTGGAAGCCAGTGAGCCAATGAGCAGAGGAATGATACAACCTTATCCTTACATAAGGAAGATTATTATGTGTATGAAGGAGAGATTGGAGATGGGGAGGAAGTGTAGGTAGGAAGACATACAGCAAGATATATTAGGAGGATACTACAGAAATAGATGGTGAAGGTGAGTCTGTATTAGGATGGCAGCCATGAGAATATAATGCTCCATGCAGAGCCTTAGGAAAGTTCAATGAGCAATCAGAAGAGACAGCATGGTCTGGGCCAGCCCTTCTGCAAGTGTGGTCTGGAGGTGTTTGGGGGGGTCCCTGAGACCCTTTCAGGGCATCTCTGAGGTCAAAACTATTTTCATGATAAAACTAATTTGTTTTTATTTCTACTACAGCAAATATTAATAGATATAACTCACATAAAAACTCTTCGAGGAGTCCTCAGTAATTTTTAAGAGTAAAGAGATTGAGGCAGCTGGGTGGCACAGTGGATAGAGCACTGTCCCTTGAAGTCAGTACATCTTGAGTTCAAATCCGCCCTCAGACATATACTAGCTGTGTGACCCTGGGCAAGTCACTTAACCCTGATTGCCTCCCCCCCCCTTCCCCCCCAAAGAAAGAGTAAAGTTATCTTACAACCAAAAAATTTGAGAACTGTTGGTGTGGAAGAAAGAGCCCTCCAGTTTTGGAGTTAGGTGATTCCTATGTCACATCTTGATTCTGCTACTTAGCAACCATAAGTTCTTAGGCAATTTATTTTACCTCCTTGGGCCTCAGATTTGTCATCTGAAAAATGAAGGGAACTAGGCTCTCTTGCAGCTCTAAATCCTACATCAATATCTATTTGGAATTCCAGTCTTGATGCTGCTTCTAAGAAGTGTGAATGTGATCATGTTTCGTCTCCTGGGCTCCTAGTTTCCTCATCTGTAGAGTGACAGCATTCCCCTTTAAGGTCCCTTCTAGCTTTAGATCTCTTATCCTGTGATCCTGAGGATAGTCTTACCACCAAATGGACTGGAAGGCATCTTTAGAGATCATGTTGTTTCTTCCCCTGTTTCAGCAACATGGCTGCACTGCACTATTATCCTACAGAAGAATTGCTGCTTTGCTTTTACTTCATTTTCTGAAGTCATAGCCATTCCATATACCTAGAGTCTGTCTTTTAACCTCTCTCTGCCTGCCCTAGTTTCCTCATCTATAAAATGGGGATAATAATCTCACCTGCCTCCCAGGGTGGTTGTCAGATTCAAATGAGATAATATTTGTAAAGTGCTTTGCAAAAACTTAAATTTATAAATATGTATTTACAGATATATAAATATATGCATATATATAATTATTTATAGATATGTATGAAATAAATAAATGAAAATGTGTGTATGAAAATGCTAGCTATCATTATTATTATTATTAAAGAATTCTTAGCATCTTACCTAAATTTCCTGCACTGCAATGATAATTTCATCAAGAAATTCATAGAGAAAATGGAACCTTTGGTGTAATCCCAGAAAAACAAATTTCCTACTTCCTACTTCATCTCCAACAATATAAAAAAAGCACTTTCTGGAGGGGCACTCTATCTGTACTTGGGAGGCAGGTGTATATAACACACTGCTGACAAATTATTTTTAAAAATTATCTTCATACAAAAGAGACAGAATCTGGACAATGAAATGTTTCAATATTTGTACTACCCTTAAATATGATGTTCGCTAAGAAGTGAGGCTTGGGGGTTCCAAGTTGGTTCTGGCACTTTTCATGAAAGCCAGCATCTTACCTGTCTTCCTTAGGGGATCATCCTTCAAAGGCTTCCATTTCTAGCTTTGTCTGTCCACCAGCCAATCCTTTCACCAAAAGAGAGAAGAATAAGGCTGGGAGTTTATCACCCATTTCCCATGAAGATCCTCAGATCAGCTATGTATAACAAGTAATGATTGGTAATCTATTTCTATTTTGTAAAGACGTCTCTAGCATAAGACAGGGCAGCTTGACGGCATGGTCAGTAGAGCCCTGGAAAGACCTGTATTCAAATCTGGCTTCAGACTAGCTGTGTGACCTTGGGCAAGTCACTTAAACCTGTTTGCCTCAATTTCCTCATCTTTTAAATGAGCTGGACAAGGAAATGGTAAACCACTCCAGTATCTTTGCCAAGAAAACCCCAGATGGGGTCATGAAGAGTCGGACATGACTGAAACGATGGGGCAAAGTGTTAGACTGTGTACCAGAAGCTATTAACAGAAGCACTTTTGTAAATCTTTGACACACCTCAATTCCTCCTTCTTAACTCCATAAGTAAC